CTAAGGCTGTCCTCTGTATATATTCCTGCTAGCTTTGCTAATTTAAGTGACTCTAGGTGAATATGCAGTGGGCTGTATGTATTTTGTGTTACTACTGATTTTAGTGTTTTATAGTGATCTTTGTGAGAATACCTGCTTTATTAAACTTATCCTATCTGGGTGCTCTTGTGTCTAGTATACTGCTCTGTGTGTTCTAGATTAAAAAATTTATTCCTAATTTTCAAGACTCTATTAAGAGATTTATTCTTGAAGCTGAGACTAGTTTTACTGAGATCATTAGTTTTCTTCAGGTAGCTAAAAACAGTCTTTAGTTGACCAGTTCTCTCTTGGAAATGCCAGGTATCTTTCTCTCCACTCAAAAAAAATATAGTGGTTTGGTAATGGGTTATAGACAGTTAGAAAGCTCTGTGGAGATTAGCTATAAGGCTATTAGATCTCTTAAGACTGCTATTGGTCTGATTATCCAGCTATTAATTAGGTGAGACTGAGGACAGAAATCCTTTTTAGGCTCTTTAGGTATCTCTTTTCTTCTTTTCTTAAATCCTGTACTTAGCTGGTTTCTTAAATGGAGAAATATTCTGCTGCTTTTCTATAATAGTCTACTACCTATAGCTTAGCTAAGAATATTTTAGAAACTTAACTATTCTACTGTAGCTTGATAAAAGGTATTTCCAAATCCTTAACTATAATCTTTAGTTTCTTAAATACAGTTATTTATATTTTATTTAACTGGGCTATTAATATTAATGCGGTGCAATAATCTGCTTGATAAGCTATTATCAGGTAAATAGGTAAGTCTGTCTTTCTATATCTCCTTATATAATATTATCCACTACTATATAATCCTGTGAGTCCTAGCTGGAATATCTGGAATGCACAGTTAATTCAAAAGTCCTGATCAGAAGCTCTTGTACTCTTGTATTACACAATTCAGATCTAGATAGTAATCTAAAAGAGACTTCAGGTAGTAATTATTATTATAGTTCTATAGTTTAATTCTTAGAGCCTATTTTTCTGCTCTGATCTCCTATATTTCTGTTTAGGCTGACTGGACACTGGTCTGCTGGGTAATGGTTTTTCTTAAGATAATTAGTGAGGCTCGCAATTATTTTGTTTGGGATCTGAATAATTAATAAAGAAACTGGATTTATATCTATATAAGACAGTGGAGTTCTTACAAGATGAATTTGGCTTGCTTGTATTTATATATACTATCAGCTGGATCCTTTAATTATATGGTTGGACTAAGAAAGTGGCTCAGTGAATAGTACAAGAAAGAAATGCAGGCTTAAGAGACTATTATTTATATTAGCTGTCAGATTTTCGCTTATATCATCTAGTTTTACCTAGATGAATCAGCTGTGATAAACAGGCTGGTCTTCCTACAGGGTGGTACCTGCTCAGTGAAATAATTATGAATTATTATTAAATATATTAGAAAATTTTAACCCTTTTCTACCTTTTATATCATTACTTAGTGAAGGGGATTTATAGGACCTTAAGGATAGTTATAGAGGCTTATCTATATAATAGGCCTTTCCTATCCCCTCAGATAATTTTATTTGATTATTTAGTTCTGTATAATTATTTTTATTTCACTGGGTTTTCTGCAAGTATGAAACAATATATTATATAATAGGATACAGTATACTTCTATATAAGAAATATTTGATAATAGAACGGAATAATAATTAAATCCAAGTACAGATACTTGTGGGTCTCTTCTTATATGATTCTGGCTAACAATATCACTTGTTCGAAGATTCTTTTCTAGATTATTCTGAACAGAAGCTTAAGGGAATATGGATATCCCTTTAATACTTCTTATAATGGAAAGGCCTTTTCTTAAGGTCCCAGTCTAAACACTTCTTGCTCCAAGGCCATCTCTTTATATACTCTTCTGTAGTATGACCTGTCTTCTTACTCTTATTATTGGGCTAAATTTCCTTCTTATTATTATTATTAGGGTTCTTTAGATTTACTTTATAGATCTTTATTACTTTCTTATTCTTCTTTAAAGCAGGAAATTCCTTGCGTGTCCATATAGAACAATTATTGACTTTGCTGAGGACAGTATAGACTTCACCCTCTATATGTTCTGCAAACAGCTCGCTGGCTCTGTCTATAAAGTCCTTGAAATTAACTACTCTATAGTCTGCTGTATTGTCCCAATAATATTCTATTGGCAGGTAGAAGTCATAAATTTATATATGGCCATAGTTAGAGAGCCAGGTTATGGCTTCTGCGTTATTTCTGAGCACTGAGTAGAAAAGGGATTTGTCCTTTGTTACTGGCTTTATTTTTTTCTTGATCTCTTTATTGGTGGGAAAGGTGGTGATCTTCAGTTTGTCCGCCCTGGCATCTAAAAGGGTTTCAGGGAGGGTGTTTATGTTGGAAAGCTCATTACTGCTGCTGATGGGACTAGCAGATACAAGAGTATTGAGGAAGAAGAAAACAGAGAAGAGAAGATAGAGCTTGTTAAGCATGTTTTTTGGAAGGAACTATATCTTATCAGGGAGTGGTACTTGCCCGCTCAGATAGTTAATGAGAAATGACTTTGATAATGATAAGGAAGGATATTCAAGCAGAATACCTAAAATATTTATATTCTACAGTCTATAGCCCCTGAAGGCCTGTCATGTCGGATATCAGTAGATCCCAAATCCTGAAGAAATTCTCTAGTCCCTGACAATATACAAGAGAGAAAGCCATTCCCAGGATAACAATATATTTATACTGTTTTAGAAAGCTTATAGTAAAACATTACAGGCCTCTATATTATAATAACTGCTATACAACGCTAGTATATAATACTGGTACTGTACCATTCCTGGAATGAACATGCTAGTGGATCTCTGTGTAAGTGGACAGTGTCACTGGTTGTATGTGGGGATCATATCACTAACTAGATCCTACAGAACAGCCCCCAAGAAAAAGCCTTACTGATCATTATTCAACTCTGATAACCTCCTAACTAGCACATAAACCCTAGAAGCCCCTTACCTATACTATTTCTCCCCGGATATATACTAAGCGACCTGCAGGAAAACTTAACCTAAAATAAACTATTTACATCTTCTTCCACTATCCTCCTAAGCTAGTACAGTACATGATAACAGAAGACTGGAAGGTCATCTAGTTGCCGGTGTCAGCTGAAGAGTATGTATATTGGAAATCTATTCTGAATGGCGCTGCAGCTCCTAAAGAATCTACTAACTTAGTAGAATATATTCTATACTGTGCTATATTCAGCAGGGACATTAAGCTAATCCAGCTCTGTCTATCATATAGTGCCAAGCTGGACTGCTGGATTTATGAATCTATTAGTCTAAACTATACACTTGAGCTGATACAGATCTTTATTCCGGCTGGCCTGGATGTTAACTATAATATGGACCGACTTGGCAGATACCTCACTCTAGCTATATATAGAGAAGATTCTAAACTTGTGAAGTATCTTCTTAAGCAAGGGGCTGATCCTAACTAGAATCTAATAAAGAATAGGCATCCTGCCCTCAGCCTGGCTGTGCTGGATAATTAAATTAAGATGGCGGAAATGCTAATTCAGTATAGTACCCGGGTAAACGGGATGGGTGCTTTGGGAATAGCAGCAAAGTATTATTAGTTTAACATGATAGAATTACTTTTCTAATATGGGGCAGATATTAATAATAATGCGAAGGAGTTACACTGTTCATGTGTCATGCTATGATCTAAGGAGCGTACGGCATTGCATGAGGCTGCTTTAGAGAGCAATACTGATATTGTGACTTACTTACTTAAGCAAGGGACTAAACCTGATATTCATAATCTTAATAGTCAGATACTGTTGATACTAGCTCAGACAAACAGTCACTGTAAAGTAGTAGAGATTTTAGCAATGAAACAGGCATATGTGTTATAAGATATATACAGGCTAGGAATCAGGGTTTAGTATTAAAGCTGAAGTAAAGTATATTATAATATTTATATTTAAATATACTGCTTAGTCTTATATTGTTTGGCGCTCTATCTATAGATTATCTCTAGATATTTAGTATTCTTAGTTAAGATAGTGTAATAGTTATATTATATTTTAAACTGTGTCTCATAAACCCGTGAGAAGCTACTATTCCAATTACTAAATCTAGGTTTCTGAGCAATCCTAGAACTGATACAACTCTATATACATGACAAGTAGTGCAAGTGTAGATGACTAGATAGTAATTGGTGTTCTTGGCAAGAGGATAGAGATATTATGAGTAACTCCTATTTTGTTCCTCAATTCTCCAGCTTTTTTGTAAATCAGGATCTCTCTAGATGAAGACTGAGCTATGGTCCATATAATATAAGAATATGGCATAATCAAAAAGTAGGCTACATGTTCCTTCTGCTTTGGGAGGCGATATCTAGAGTGAATTATAGAGAGTCCATATGGGACAGACAGCAAGAAAAAGATATTCAGGCTGATATTAGATTTACATAAATATACTTATGGAGCCAAAAACTAGGGATTAAATTACTCAGTGGTTATAAAACTGTTTGATATATCTTCTCTTGGTTAAACAGATAGAATAGTTAGGCAATAAGTTATAGTCAGCGGCATTTAAAATTAGAATATCTAGTGATAGTGACTGTCTATATATCAGTATTACTGTCTAGGTAAGAGTTAACTACAGGCGATGTACAGACTTTATATAGGTAATAATGGCCTATAACAGTAGGCGGGTTTAAAAGTTACTTACTATACTCTATTAGGGTATTCTAAATTATAGCTGGAATGTTGTCAGGAAAGCCGATATTATTAGCAGTGTACTGATATATCAGTAGAGCCTGAGAACCTTACTTTTCTGGGATAGTTTACTGAGACAACGCTAAAATTATTTCGGAATTATTTATAGAGACTCTATAGCATCAGTTACCCCTAAGCAGAATATCTGGAATAGTATTATTAAATTTACTCTATAGGGTAATTAGCTTATTAATATAATCTTATAAATTGTGATATACAATCCTTTGCAATGCGACAGCAGACTATTGCAGGGAAGGTTAGGCTAGGAGATCTTTCCAAGACCACATAGTAGAAAACCTAGGACTATAGTACTTACAGTGCCTTTAGTCTTAGTCTCTATATAAAGACTATTACAAAAGCTTTGGACTCAGTGTTAATCTAAGAACAGATACTGCTACTATCTTTACTATTTATAGTAAGTATTATAGATATACTTCTTGTTAAAGAGATACTGACTAATAAAAGAACCTGAAAGAGCTTGTCCCGATAATTCCAAGCAGGGAGAGAATAGGATCAAGGTAGACCCATATACAAGTATTAACCTGAATTTTGTAGGCAGGGCTGGCGACAAGAATAGTAAACCTGATATCAATAAAATCCTTGCTGTATATACCTTTAAGTATATCTTAAAGAGCTAAACTAACAGCCCTGGTTAGGAATACACTGTATCCCTTGAGTAATAGTGCTACTCTCTAGGACCGGAAGCTAGCAGTACTCCAGTTATCTCTGAAAGCACAATCCTATTTAATAGTGTCTGTCTAATATCTTTAGAAACCCTATCTTCTTTCCCAGCTGTCTCAATACTGCTTACTAAATCTTTATTGGCTGTTCCAGTCTTATTAACTCCCCTATCCTTATCTATTTCTCCACTGAAAATGTCAGCAGCCGATCCAGCTAAACGCTCTCATCACCATTACTATATAGACTTTTAGCAGTATTATGGCCATCTGTAAAATGGGAAAGTCCATGTCCAGTTTATTGGTGTCTATCCCTAATATTATATTCTCTAATTGGCTATTTTCTTGTTCTTCTTTTCCAATTCTTTATTATAGTTTATAAATCTATATAGATAGATTTAGTTATATATTAATATTAAAATCTTATATCTTTCTTCTTTTTTTGCTGGGAAGATTATTGTATATTATTGTATATATATATTAGTTTAAAACTCTTAATTATATAGATTATTGCTCTACACAAGATATACCTGTAGAGATAGGCTTTAAAGAACTCTAGATATATTAACAGACTTTTATTAATTAGCTTATTCTTTTTTCCTGCTTGCCACTCCCAGCTAGTATCCTGCCATTTATGAAAAGGTGTAAAAGTTGTCATTTTTACCTGGCTAATACTAAGGATATAATATATAGATTACAGGAGTGGATAGTATATTAATAGAATTTACAATATATTTTATGTTTTAGCTAATATATTAATGGAGATCAGGAGGCATAACAATAATTGTATATATTATTAGAAAATATATAGACTTATAGAGACAGTGTTAGATTAGTAATGTCAGTTTATATAAAGATTTAGAAAGGGTGTATATAAATTTATATAGCCCTTTTCTGAGTATTTTAAAGATTAGGTAGGAGACATCATCTTATTTTATAATTCAGTTTTGCAGATAGACCGGGATAATCAAAAATACCAGGAATATATTTGTTATTGTGATTAGAGAGAAGTCTCTAATATCAGTATACTATCTATAGAAGAGAATATCTCTTTCTATTTCCTGTCTGCTCTTGCACTACTTGGCCAGTCCGCAGGAACAAAGACCTAAGAGTATACAGTATTAGCTGGGTTCTTGTTATTAATTATAACTATATTACAGAATGTTTTGGCTGTAGTGAGATTACCTACAGATAGAGAATCTATAAAAAGAGAAAAGAGTCCTATCAGATATATATTTAAGTCAGACTGTGTTTGGTCAGTGTTCTTGAATATATATATTAGTGAATTTATATAAGTCTACACTGCTTATTCTCTAATTCCTAATTGTTGAATACGTCCATGAAAATTGCTTAGTATCACAGGTTCCTGATATATGCCTGGTGAATTCACTGCCTGCGGATGTATGTGGATTTTTGAATACTATGGTAATCAGGACATATATATAAAGGCTTCATGATTCCACTTAAATAGGCCTTTAAGATAGAGAATAGAGAATCTTAATCTAGTTATTTTGATATTGCTTTGTATAAATATCTTACCAGGTATTCTACACTAATTGAGGGCATTCTATTTATATAATATATATATAATATATATATTTATGTATATATGTGGATAATTATGCTTAATAAGAGAAAGAGTAGGTGTCTTTAACTCTTTTCTAAGAGAATTCCCTGATCCAGAAATTAAGATAGCTATATTAGATCTTTGCCTAGCCAAATATTATTTGAGAAATGTTCTTCTTATAGTTTATTTATATTTTAAGTAGATGTACCCGCGGCCTGTAAATATCTTAAGAAGCTGTCTTTTTCCAAATATAGCAACATAATAATTAGTGGCAGTATATAAAAAAAGAGGAAATCTCCCTAGTATTAGACTGAAGTGTAATCTATCAGTATTAAAGGTATATAGAATTTTTTTGCTGAAGATTCTCTAGAAGGCATGATACTATATATCTCTTCTAATAATATATAAGGCTCTTTTTGGTTTTGTATTCTTATTCTCTCTGAAAAAAAGTTTACTAAATAAATCTCTCTATAATATAAACTGACAGTTGGAAATATCTTTATTTATATACTGATTATGGACATGATTTTCTAGTCTCTATTATAGCTACTTCATGCGATTGGTTAAAGCAGATGGGCTGAGTGGATCTGGATACTAATTTATAGCAGCATGTTTTCTATCAGGAAACTAAGCTTTTTAAATTTGGTTTAGTATTTTCACTCTCTGCTAATCTAGCTCTATATAGTAATACTCTATAGAATCTTCTGCAGTCCTGCTCCTTGCGTGGTACCTTTAGATCTATAGCATGCTTCAGGAAGTCTATATATCTCTCTATTTTTATATGCTTTCGGGTCTGTGTTAGATCCTTGGCTTACTGTAATCATTTAGTCCTTGTGCTGAGTGGATATATCCATTTATACAGTTCTTTAGTCAAGAGTTTGAATAATCACGCCAGTTACCCAGTTGTATTGATCAATACCCTGAAAAATCCTTATCTTTTTAAACACTACCTATGATATCTAGAAGGGCTTCTTTGAGTTCCTTCTGTGCTAATATTAAGTATTATAAAAGCTAAGTCCACTAGAAAGAGCTTATATACAGAGTCTTTATGAAGGTTATATTAAAGCTACTGAAATTGCAAGGTATTTAAAATAATCCCTCTAAACTATCTATACTGTGCTGAACTAATTATCTACAAGACAGCAGTTTGAATGCTAACTATACTCTAGTTATCTAAAATCCTATATAGATAAAGTAAACAGTCACTGATTTAATTGATTAAATAAAATCCTTTTATTATCTACTAAGAGGCCCAAGAGATACTATATTTATAATTTTCTATACTATACTATACTGCAAATATCAAGAATCAGGATATAGCAAATGGAGTGCTTAAAAGTGTCTATTAATACTGGATATAGTCAAGCAGTGTTATAATTAGGCCCTAAAATATTAAGGTTATAGTAATCCTGATTAGGCTAAGATTATATAGTCTGAGAAATGCTTAGTTAAATTAGATTTCAGCCAACAGTATAAATATGTGTTTCAACTTAATTTACAGGGTGAAAAATGGGAAAGGAAATATATATAACTATATACTAAAGGAAAAGCTATCTGTATAATAATTTGGACAGCTATTTAGAACAAAAACTACAGTGATCTTATCTATTTAAGTATGATTTTAAAGCTAAAAATATGGCTACACTATATGCTTCTAACTTGCTCTATTGGAGAAGTTACTCCTACTATCTGGGAACCAGGTCTTATTTTCATGCATGATAATGTCCCTATTTATTTAGCCAAAAGATTAAAGAATGGTTATAAGATAATGCTATAAATTATATGGAATAGTTCCTATACTTGCCAGATTTAAACCTTATTGAATATATATAGTTTCCGCTTAAAGAAGGGGTCTATAACTTGAGTCCTGATATTGAAAAGTGCTAGGGATCAAATAATAAGTAGTATTATAAAATATATATATTTTTATATAGAGGGTTGAACCATAGTAAGGTACGCGGCTACTAAATTATACTAACTTTTATAGGACACTGTAGGCTCTATTCAAAGCCCGGGGCAGTTTGAAGTGGCACCACAGATTAGCAGTAGTTAATTAGTATCTTTATGGAGCTTGGAATTGATCTTCTGCATGATATTTCAGAGATAGATAATATAGTAGAGCCAGTGGGAAGTCTATAAGTCTTATATAAGCCAGTAACCTTTGCAGTACTTTACTTTATATAATATTCTCTCTACTATATTATTCCGCGGAAGTGTTTTGGAAACCAGAATATATATACAGTATAGGAAACACTCAGATAATAAGATGGAATAGATTCAAGCTAGCAGATATATTTATGGAATTTAGATAGTAGCTATATCTAGTATTTTAACTGTTTATCTTAGATAAGTGAGAACTGTTTCCCAGTAGATAGTTAAATACTATAGATATAAGCAGTGTATAATTACTTATTTATAGTTATTAAGCTATAGAACTAAATAGAATTGATCTAATTTATATATTTAAGTAGAACTGTTTTTAACTGACTCTAAGTATATAATTTTTATACTTTTAAATAAGTGATCTAAATTAACTAAGGCTATTCTGCCCAGTTTTAACCATTCAGTATCCAAGGCTGATAAGGATAAGATATGGAGAAGTGGATGTACCTGCTCTTTAAGATGGAGCTTAGATAGACTTATAATATTTAAAGCAGCTCTATAAAAATTGTTAGTAAATATTATATATCTAATTTAATTATCCTTATTATAAGGACTATAAAATCTTATACAGGGCCCTTGCAGTAAAGAGTCTATTGTTCAATTAGTAAGTGTCCTTGTTCCTGTCAGTAGAGAAGAAAGTATTTACTGGATAAGCAGTATTACAGTATTTATTGGAACTAGTATTATAAGGATGGCATTTATTAAGACAGTTCTTTAGATTCTGACCTTAAGCTATTACAGGAGTAATTATAATAAGTATAGCAGTAATAATACTTAGAAAATATATTTTATTTATATTAAGGATTGCGAAGTAAGTATATAAGTGAGATACTAAGTGGTTTAGAATAAGCCTTGAGATATATATAAAATAAGAGTTAGTAGGAACTTTCTCTGAGAGAATTAGGCCCTATTTATGCTCTTCTTGCTAGCTAATAACATATCCAGCCCCTTAGTATACCTTTCTCTATATTGTATTATACAGATGTCTACTTTTTAGGGTGAGGGCAGGGATCTTTAAGCTGAACTACCGGAATTAATATAAAGCTGACTTCTTAATATTCTAGTTCTATTATTACTTTCTATACTATAGTATCTAACTGAACCTTGTTAATTAATGCCTGATACAGTAGTAATACCTGAGATAAGTAGATAAGACAGAAGAGACTATTAAAAGATATTGTTCTTCTATACTTTAGATTAATATAGTATAGAGAACTGTATAGGATAGTGCTGTATTGCTTAGTTTCACCTTCTTTTAGCCCTATATATAAGAAGGATATTATTACTTAGATAACCTTATATTATAACTATATATTCCTCTATAATCTGTCTGCTTCCTGGGTATGTAGTGGGCATATGGGTGGCCTGGTATGTTTTAACAGGCATATCTTTGGATCCACCGGCTGTTGCTCTATCACTTATATATAAATATCTTCTACAATAGTTATATATATTTGGAGTAGTTAATATTGTTGTTAGCCAAGATAGATCTTTAATGCCTGAAAGGTGGGATATAAGCGCACATGATATGAACTAGTGCCAAACTGTATTAGCCTAGAGTAGATCCTGTATTAGCCGACATACCACCAGACTTTATAAACCCTGAGTATAATGTATTTTAGCTTACATGTAGAATGGTAATGACCCCTGAAATAAGATAATGAAGAATTTAGGAACAGGTTATACAAGTATCGCAGCCCTATATTACTAAAAATATATAACAGATCTCAAATAAATCCATTAATTTTAATATATTTAAGAACTAGTCTTACTCTTCAGTTTCTTGTCCAGTATCTAGGAGACCTCAGACACGCTCTAAGAAATAAGCAGAAGATACTTAGTATAGAAAGCCTCTCTATCTAAATTATATACTATAGAGAATAATAATATAACTTTTACTTTTATAATAAGATTCAGAAGCTTGTAAGGCTTTAAGTCCTAAAGATAAATCTAGGCAGCTTGCTGAATATACTAAAGCATCCTTAAAAATATAATAAAGAAGAGAAAGCCCAGTTAGAGATTAAAAAAAAGCAAGACCACTAAAGAAGATATATAAGCAGGAAGCAAGTAAAAGAAGTATTAAGAAAGAGAAGGAACTTATTATATACTATAGATTAAATAATAATTCTGCCTGATAACTGTATAGTATACCCTGCCTCTGTTACAGTTACACTATTCCTATTATATAAATAAATTGGTCACTGATAAAATAGGGGATCTCTTATATAAATAGTATATACTGCCTGTCTTTGTTTTTTTTATCTTTTTTAGCTGATGTATCCTTACCTAGTTAACAGATTCTCTAAATTAAAAAGTAGATACCCTGATACTAAGAAGGCAGATATAGCTACTGTATTCTTTCTGGAAATTTAGAAGATATATAGGCATATTTAGGCTCTTAATAATTTAGATAGTATTAATATATAAATCTATAAAATATCTAATATATATAGTTCTTAGACTTCTGTTTTACAGTAATTGTTAAGTAGCAAATCGTGTGGCAGGTATAATTAGATATGCCAGGTAATTATCTATAGTTCTATATACTTCATAGTATATTCACGTCTGGCCTCTAGTAAATTATATTAGACTATAGTCTGTTCTATAAGATAATATGCTGTGTGCTTCTGATTAGACTGTTAGATTATTAGCAGTATCTGATTATACCAGTAATAGATAAGTAATATAATGATATTAGTGCTGTCTAATCAGAATTTTGCTTTCTTTTTATTCTTTTACTTATAAGCTATAAATATTATATAAGTAGAAGTCTGGATTAGTAGATTTATATCATTTCCGGAAAAATACTTTATATACTTTCATAATTAACAAAGTCATATATTTTGTGAGGCAAGGAGCCAAGCCACTCTATATATCTATTCTATATTGACTATAGTCTAATACAGGAGCAGATTCAAAAGAAATGGAGAAAGGCCCACTATAAGTAAAGTAGATATAGAGACCTGAAATTTACTATAAGTAATGGCTTTATAAATAAGATAAGTACTTTAAGCTAGGGAATTGACTATTTTATAGACTAAATATAAAAGGCATCAAGGGCATTGATAAGAGTGAAATAAATAAAGATAAGATAAATTATCCTGTACTGCTCTATTTTATTTTAATTACTGTTTAAAAATTATTATATCTGAAAAGTTACTCTATACCCTGTAAAATTATATAACAGAGACTTATTTATGAGATAGGCCAGATTAATTTACTGGCTACACTTGTCGCAGTTACTTTTACTATCTATAATAAATAAGAGGATACTTATAATTATCAGGTATTTTTTATAGTCTAGTCCAATATATGCATAATAAGAGACAGAAATATAAGTTAAATCAGAAGCTATATATAGTATAGCTTAGAAAATTAAATTAATATAGAGAAAGAAAAATAAAGCCTAAAATATATTATATTTTTAGACTAAGAAGTTCTCCTGGTCTTGGAAAGGCTATAGTGTATATATAAGAAAACCAATAAATATTTATAATAGTTTAATTAGTCCAATTAACAGAGCTGTAGTATTGTAATAATCTTTCTTCCTCTCTCTATATATATATGTTTCTTGTTAAGAGTAAAGAGACTTTCTGAGTTACTAGACATAAGTAACCAGTCTATAGCTGTCAGCCCAGACTTCTATCAAGCTCTTTTCCTGAGTTCTTTATAGAATAAGAGATAATCTCTCTCAGTTTTTCTGTTAAGCTAGTTCTTAATACTAATCTAGTTGCTGAGATGCTCTTCTATAAATTATATAGTAAAACAGAATTATCAAGGGTATCTACTATACAGGGTAGAAGACCTGTCAACTAGGTAAGGATATATATAGGCTAAAGGAGAGGAAAAGATCCAAGGTAGGCAGTAGATATAATTTAGAGAAGAGACTAATTCTTAATCTTCTACTACTACTAATAATTTGCTAATTTATAGCTGAAGGCTCTATATCTAAAGGATTCAGAATCTCCTTTATAAACCAAACTGTTATAGGGCCTGATGTTTCTTCTTAGTAGCTGATTATTTATATATCTGTGTTAGGGTATCCTGTACAGTTATCAGGCCGAATTACTATTTAATCTGTAACAGATTAGCTTATATAGGAGATCTTATAGTAATTTACTATATAATTAGTCTGGTATTTTAACTAGCCCGGAACTAAATCAATGCATTAATAGCCCGAGATTCAGTAATAATCCCTAGTAATAGAATATCTGTACTGTAAGTTACTATAAGCTCATGGAATAAGTCAGACTAAGAATTATCCAAGTAATTTATTAGTTAGCTAAAGAACTGTAAGTATAAGGAAATCTGATGTAGCTATAATAGGTTCTGGGATACTGTAGTGATACTGGAAATAATATAGCAGACTACTTGACTAAGACAGTAATGGATTTAAAAAAGAAATATCTCTTCTGATATCTCCTACTATATAAAAAAGGGCATATCTGCCACAAAATCTATAGAGTAGAAATAAGAATAGAGAATCTCTAAGAAAAAAGAGTGTTTCTAAAGTATTAATTAGGCCCTATCTATAAAGTACACGCGCTGGCTTTATAGCTTACTTTTCTAGAATTAAATTTATCTACTTACTTAACTTATAGACTGGTCACTCATAGCTTCTAATATACAGAAAACAGGCTGGCTTCCAAGATAACAAATAATATGCTAATTAACTGCCCGCGGTTAAACAGACTATATAAATATAGCAAAAGATTAGAAGAGTATTTAATAATATTTCAGATATATACTGAAAAGCAGGCTAAGGTAAGAAAAATAAGCTAAAAGATATTTTATAAGATAGGAGTATCCTGGAAGAAGTACTGGGCTTTATAGCAGTATTACAGAGATTTTGAAGTCGCGTGCTATAAAGACAGTAGAATAAAAGACTAGATATTGGCTACTACAGATCTTGATAAAGCTCTAAGATTATCAGGAAAGTAATAGTTCATTATAAATAGATATATAAATACTTATATAAAGATATTTTCTAGAGTTACTATTATAAGTATATTCTAGCTGATTCTGGGTCTCTTATAAGCTACTTTTAATAACTTAACTGTACTAGTACTCAGCTTTTTAGTAATATAAGTTCTAAGTTATAATCTTAATAGTTCTGACTTTAAATTATTATGATCTTATAGGCGTTTCTTGGTTCTATAAAGAATAAAATAATCTATATTAAATTGTTGACTATATTTAGTAGACTGGCGACCATGTTCAAGCCCTGTTAAAATGGCAGCACATTGCGCGTTATATAGCTTAGGCCCAGTATTTTAAAATACACTAATTTATATTCTAAAAGACCTTGTTTTCATGAGCTAGTCTTTAGGAGATATTAAAACATAGTGGAAGATCTTGCTGCAGCGCGTGATAGGAGAAGGGTTGAATATATTCTTATTATATAATTATATCTTTATATTTTCTGCTTCCTTATCTCTAAACTATCTTTTCTACTTTTATCCAGGACCAACCACTGACCCTAAATCAAAATATCTTAACTTAAAATAAATATAAGGAGAATTTATCTCTTTATCTATAACTATCTCAGGCTCCCCATTTTCTGTAGCCTCTGCAGTATCAATTGCTTCTCCACCTACAGTATTCATACTTCACCTCCTGTCAAATGCCTATATTTCCACTGATTCAAAACCATAATGAAGGTCTCCCACAAATACCGGCCCAAATGGCCATCTAAATAGATTCCTACTATAGAAACCAGTCTGAACTGCGCTGACTGACTAGAACAATTCCTCTAACAGAATAGATTCAAAACCTGGGATTTCATGATTTATTGCTATATATATTAAAGTAACTCTAACTGGGAAAAGTTTATAACTTAATTCCTCTACTCTATTACTAGTTTTTTAAAGTACTATAACAGTCTAGATCTCTTAGATAGCTTTGTCCCTACAGTTTTTGAAGACAGAGCTTTTAACAGTGCGACCACTGCTCTTCTATACAAGCATTTCCAAGAATGGGCTGTAATAGTGCCACAAGAGAAGTAGGGCATTGAGCACTCTTGCTTCCCAAATTCAGGACAGTATTGATTCTTTATTATGGTGGACCAGGAGGCTTTAGAATCGGTTCTGAGTGTACCTGAATTGTATTATCCTTCTATAACTGGATTCATGTATCTGGTCAATAGTATTTGGAAGCTGGAGGAACTGGATCAAGATAAATTGGAGGAGTGTGGATTATCTGATCTGTCAGAACTTAAAGAGTTTAAGCCTCTGGAGAGATATAGGTTAAAGAATGTTGACTGGATGAAGATATCTTTTCAAGACATAGAGTTACCAGCATTTCTAAAATTCTGTGATAACCTACAGTGATTAAGGTATTACCGGTATCCTCCACTTATTCCAGAGTAGATCTGATATATAAAAATAAAAGAGATAATAGTTCTGGTCAGTTAGAATAGGTATACTTATTTCTTTATCTTTTTATTGAAGAAGATCCTTAAGGACCAGTCAATATATTACTAACTTTGTGTAAATATAATATTAGGTAAATTCTTAAGGATCCATACAGGGCTAGTGGCATATACTTACTTTTGTCTAACAATAAATAAGCTGCCTTTTGTAATCTTGATTAGAGATTTTAATTTAACAAGATATATTTTATTATATCTATAACAAATATTATAGATCTACTATTATCCTAAACAGTGTTTATTAAACCTACTAGAAGATAAATAACTTCTCTAAATATTAGCTAAAGTATAAGTAATTATATAATATAGTTATTATATAGAATTATTAGTATGTCTCACTTGTATTCTTATTTAAAAGTAAGGATAATCGCCTAATACTTGGTGGCCTTATTAAATACTATATATAAGATAAAGTCTTGTATGAAACTATATATTTATCTAAGTCTTCTATTTCAAGCTTTAATTGCTTCCCATCTATAGTAGCATGCCTATAGGAAAAAATTAACATGTTCAGGAGAAAAAGCAATAAGAAAGTAATCTTATAATATAAGCCCTACTTTTGCTTTAAGTCTAGTAAAGTAAGGAGAAGACTGAACCACTATAGCTTTATAACTATAAGTTGGAAGTGTTCAGCAGGCAAGCCTACTTTCAGTGTGGTAATAGTAGGCAATATATTATATAGTGAAGTCTATTCAGTGTGGATAACCTGTACCAATATTTACACTTTCTATATATATATTGCCTTTGGCTTATATTAGTTTGCGCTCAAAGATTAGTGTAATGACAGGGATTTAGTCTATTAATAGATAAACCTAGTCTCAATAGCTATTATATCTGTTTTCGCTATTCGCTGCGGTATATAATTTATTGATTATATTGGCTGAAGATATCTGGTGCCTATTGAGACGAGACAGCAATACCACACACAATATATTTATAAAGCCTAAGTTATGACTGACCCCACTAAATTAAAAGTCTATATCCCAAGCTGATATATACCCCGCGCAAATATCTTCTCTTAACTAACCTGGCATCAATGTACTGGAACCAAGGACAATAGACGGAAATAGCAGAGCTGAAGGTGCAGGTAATAAGAGCTGTAAGTAGATACTGGGACCAGAGCTCCTAATACTCTGACTAGCATGCACAATATTGTCTATACCTGGAAACCCCTGGGTAAAGTCAATGATGCCTTAATACTAATTATAAAGTGCCTTGAACTCCACACTAAACAGCTAGACCCTGATTATTCAGATATCTTATCTTCCTCTATGGCTCTTAGCAAATAGCTATAAGCAAAGGACTTGCCAGATATATCTCTACCAATAGCTGGTTAACAGAAGAGTAATCAATATTCTCCACATCTCTTTAACCATCATAATATAGCCGTATCTATCACTGATCGCCCTAGTGATAATGAACTTGTAAGTGAATCCTTAAATCAAAGCCAGTCTCTACAAAGCACCAAAAGCGAATTTTTCTTAAACAGTCTTTTCAGAGAAGATGAGAGTTCTATACTGCTTGACTATTAAGGAGCTAGTGACACACATCAGGCTGTCTACCAGTTTAACACTAGTAGTATAGATAACAGAAGACAGTTTGAGTATGTTCTAGTGCTCTATAATCTACTAAACCCACTAGTTTCTTTCTTTAGGTTGTGCTGAACAAGTTACTAAGGATGGCTTAAATTATTTTATTAATTCCACTCACAACTAAAACGGACTTCAAACCAGACAACACATTTATTATAGGGAAGAAGCCAGACTGGCTAATTAGAATGTCAAGGCAGATCCACAATGAGTATTACTCTGTCATATGCCAGCAAGTAACCGACTAAGCAGGAAGAAGCCAAGAGAATAGGCTTTCAAGTAGATTCAGGCTATGAATACTAGATTATACAGAAATAAATATATCTTTATAATTCTCTATTTCTTCTTTCTGTCATTACTATATAAGGGCTATTTATAGATTGTTTTGTAGCTACTTAAGGATCTACAGATACCAACAGTACAGCGCGCGAGTGTAAGTGAGATAAGTAATATAGAAGAGTAGGAGGCAGAGATAGTGGCCTCACAAGTCTCTTACAGAGAATTTCAATATCAGGTGTATTGAAAAGGATGTGGCCCTGCCAAAACCTAGTATACAATACAGGGGTTCAAGGGCCTACTTTTGGTGAGGTTAGGGTATATTAATTTTTATTTTATACTACTAGATTCTTTCCTGATTATTTATTGTTTATATGTAGATAATTCTGGCCTCAGTTTTATAGTATCTGATTTTCCAGGTAAATCTTCTGTATTTACTTTTCTTTCAGATCCTCTGTTTTCTATCTAAGAAATTTCTTGAAGTTCTGGGAGCTAACTTTCTCTTTTATAGTTTTCTTATCTTTAACTTAATTCTTAGTTTATTACCCTGTACTTTTCTCCATTATTGGTCAGCAGTTATGGTATATAATACATAAAATAGACTTGTCTTGGTTATTGAATGATATCTGATCCTTATAGTAAATATAGCTTAGTTAAAGACTCGGATCAGTTCCTTCTCACTACTTTTATTAATATTTGTCTAAAGAATCTGTTCAGGTATTCTATCTTTCTGCTTATTATTGGGTGGCATGGTGCTGTTATTTGATATTTTACTTTTAGGATACCGACATGTGTTTTATAATGGAGCTCAGCAGGTTCTTTCTATTGTCAGTTTACAGTTTAGTAATTGCGCAGTATTTAATAAAAGATCTCTTATCTATTACTTTAGTAATAGCTTCTGCTATTGTTTATTCTGTTACATAGTTAACCGCTGCAATAATCTATCTATTTCTGTGCAGTATTAAATGTCTGATAAGATTAATTTCCTATTTATTAAAGGTATTTGTTATTGTATTTATTTGATAGTATTGGTATTCACTTCCCAGTTACTCCTTTAATCCTTGTAATACTTGATAGAAGGGACAGTGTTGATAATGTAGTTAGATATAGTAATAAGATCTAAATATATAATATATAGAATACCTTAAATATTTAATAACATAATATATTCTCTTATAGAATAAAATTTATATTCCTAAATATTATTATTTCTTAAATAATTTCTTTTTCTTAACTTTAGTATATCTTGTAATAAGATATAATATATAATAAGAGCTACTGATCCTTAAAGTAATACTATCTCCTAAAAATATTAATATCTATTCCCAAGAATATTTATTACTTTTCTATAATCTTAATAAAGCTTCTGGCTATATCTCTACCTTGATTCATAAGAATCTCATTAGGGTCTGATAAGGGAGGTTCCAGGTCAGAATAATAAATAGCTATTCTCTATTCTAAATATAGTAACTTTAATAACAATTTCAGTTCTTATTATTATAAAGAAAGGTCAGATATCTACAGTTAATTTTCTAATATTTATTAAATTTTTATACTCTTTTTCTACTTAGTAACTGTAACTACTGGTTTATTTCACTGCTATTAATCCTTACCTTATCCTTGTCATTCCACCAAGGAGTTGGTATATCTACCCTGGTTAATAAGCTCAGAAGGCGACCCCAAACAGGCCTACTGTCTCTATCTATAGCCAAAGGTTTGTTTGAATTAGCCTTCTTTGCATGACTATTGAAGCTATTATGACTGGTATAGATCCTAGTTTCTGTTCCTGTTGACAAAGTCTATGGGTATCTAATAATAATTAATCCAGCTTTAGCTCTTGTCAGTATAATATTAAGATACCTTAGATTATTAAGGAAGCCCAGATCACTATATGGATTACAGTAAACTATAATATATATAATAATTTCTGTCTCTTATTCTTGAAATATATTAATAGTTAAAATAATAGTAAAGCTTAGCAGATAATCTTTCAATATCTCTACTTATCTTATATATGGGATTAGGATAGCCACTGGTTCTAACAGGGTGTTGCATATCTCTTATCTATTATCCTGTGAATATAAGCTAGTTAGTAAGTGATATATTTCTTTATATAGTCTGGCCTGATTGATGTTATTCTTGGATCGGTAACCAATATTCTCTTTAGCCAGACAGGGAGTAAATACCTGACAGCTAAAGACTTTTTCTATTAATATTTTCACTTCTGGCTAAGGGAATTTATTTATCAGTAGTGAATTGCTATAACATGTGCTATCTGTAGTAAGCCTCCCCTTATAAAACTCTTGTGATAGAAAATTATATATTTAGGGATATATCCGGTACTAGATATCTAGTATAACCTTACTAAAGCCTCCATTCACAATATCACAGTTTATATAGAGATGCTTAAAGAGTGAAACTTCTGAGTCAGTTACCTTAGTATATTTATAGGTAGACACATGGAGTTGTATATGGTCTTCTATAAGGATTATATAGGTATATTCTTTATTTAATAGAATTAGAGATATTAGCTCTGTTTGCTGCAACATTTTGTTAATAATAATAATCTGAAATTTTATATTGTGTAAGAGATCTAATCCGGCTCTAGTATATATTATAAATATAAGATAAGATTACTAAATACACTTAAGAGTATAGTATTTTATCTCTAGTTAGAAATTTATTTCTTTTCCTTCCATTGCATTACAGGTGTATTGGACTAAATCTTGGGCTACCTTATAAATCTAGATAGTAAAGAGCAAATTATAAGTGTGTTTTAGAAGAAGTTAACTTTTAATAAAAGTACTAACTTATATTAATAGAAACCTAAAGTAATTTAATACCTATATAGTCAGTATGCTTCAGATACCGCCTGAGAATATTATCTACAGTATTATAGATGGAGACAGTTACTAGTATTTAGTCTTCTAAGTTTCTCTATAGCAGCTCTTGTAGAATTACAGCTACTGTGTATGTCTTTCCTGTTCTGGGAGGTCTCCAGATACAGGTCAGGGATAAGGTAAGAGATGCCAAAACGGCCTGATTCTGTGACTTATTGAGATCAGATTAAGCTGTATAGTCAGTAAATTTATAAGTAGTATCTGCAAGAGCTTGGCTCTTCACTAGTAAAGAATACAGAGCATAAGTATCTACTTTATTCTTAAGTAACTTTACAAGTGAATCTAGCATTGCCTTAGATATAATAAAGGAGCCACAATGTTTTATATACTATTACTCTTCTGCAGTAAATATAGGTGGGTATGATAAAGGCCTGAACATAATCTTACCTGGCTGGAATAATTTAACCATAGCGTTAAATATAGCAAGACTAGTTAAGAATATATTTTCAGGATATTATACTAGTCTGAACTGAATATGGTCTTCTATAACTAGTTGTTTAAGCTTTAGCGTATTAAGATACCAGTGGCTTTTAAGGACTGGGAGTATAGGATTCTGCTGAAATAACTTGAAAACCTATAAGTCCTCTTACTTACTGAGTAATTCATAAGCTTCTTTACTGTGATCTAGTGCAATACCAAAAATATTATAAGTTAGATATTTCCTGACAGAAAGAGTTTTCTTAAGCAGTGTATAGTATAGCGGCTCTAGGATTTCAAAGAACAAGTCAAGAATCTGTTCAGGAGAATTCATAGTAAGGCAGATATACTTAACTAGTTCCTTAAAAGCAGAAATAGATATGGATTTTGTCTTGTAGAGAATATTTTATAAAGTATCTATAGCAAAGGAATCTATATTGTTAGCTGCTTGGATTAATGCGCGGACTAGGTATAGTGTCTGTTCCTATAATATCTGGACAAGATTAGGAGAAAATATCTGTTTCTAGAGAAAAATCCTTAAAAAGAACACTATATTACTAGGAGTGTAGGCAAGACCCTTGACAAGGCTATTAAGTAATGTATCGGGGGTCAACCAGGCAGTGATTAAGCTAGTGAATTCCAGATAGTACTGATATACTTCTGTGGAAAAGCTAGTTTCACCGTGGCTAAAGCAGAACTATAATACAGAAAGAATATTTAATTGAAGTTGCTTGTCTTCAAGAAAAGATAGATTTTAATCTCTAAGTAATATAGTGATTACTAGAGACTGTAGTATTTAATCTACTGTCAATAATTAGGGTATTGTCAATAGGGAGGTGATCTTCTTAAATAAGGATATAGTTTTGTCTGTATTGACACTATCTAGCTAAAGATTAAGGGTATAAAATAATTTTAAGTCAGTATTACTGATTATATAGAGTTCCTAGATATATATTAGTAATTGTGTCTTTTCTTCTTGTTATATTTATAAATAGGTATCTGGTATACTTACTGCTGTCTGAACTTCTTCCTGATATATACAACTGATTTGATTCTGGGTACTTTAACTAAACTTCTAAAGTGCAATACTAATTGCCCAGTTATAGTTAATGCCAGTATTAATAGTATTCTGGTATTCATGTGTATGGTTTGCTGCATCCTTCTTGCTTCAGTAGGCCAAAGTGTTATTAGCAGGATGTCCTATCTAAATAAAAGTATTTCCCCTTTGTTTATTATAAAGTTACAAGTAGCTTTAGTTATAATAGAGTCGGGACTTAACACTTGTGGTAATAATTCAATAATAGCCTAAGGGATCTCCATGAGTGTGAGGGAACACAATGACCTGCACAGCCCTACCAACCAAAATATCTTCACCAACAGCAATCCTGTTTAATATATAGATAGCAATGCTGAAATATTTATTGATTTACAGAACAAGTAACTTTTAGTAAAATTGATGAAATAACTATTTAAGTACCTCTATTAAATTACTTAAACAGCTTTGATCAGAGAAAATACATTTCCATCACAATCCAGTGTAGTTAAGGTAATAGAGTGATAATTCTTTCGGCTGTAGAATATTTAAACTGAGAAGATTATTCATGATCAAAGACAGATAGTTAAAGGCAGGAGGCAGTATCTGAAATAGCCAGTACCACTGTTCCACTGTTAATGTGTCTAGATTAATGTAGTGTAAGAACTCTTGGAGTTCAGATATTCCTTGTCAGCAGCACCAGTCATGAACAAGTTATAATATATAGAATTCTAAATATAATTATAGTTAGGAAAGAATTTCCTTCACAATCTCTTAAGTATTAAACTGGGTGAGGCTATCTTTTATTACAATACTTAACTGTGTCTTATTCTCTCTCTCACAGTGTAAAATGTTCAGTATAAAGTTATCAAGGATTTCGTCCTTGATAGGGGGAGGTCTCTCCAATCTTGGAGAAACATTTACTCAATTGCTATCTATATATAGAGAATAAAGGTAGTTAAGCTCCTGGCATTCACTGCTAAACGCTCCCTTTTGGATAGCCCATTCAAGGAATAAATTCTTAACACAGCCAAGGCTAGTACTTGTATACCGGGCAAAGTAGTCAATGCAGTCCTTAACAGTGATCTTATGAAATAATAGCGGCTCCGGTCCCGCAGGATACTCCACAGGCTGGGATATTGTTAATGGGATTAATGCAGGATCCTAGCAAACAAAAACTATTCATGGATTTAGCTGAGTTCTGATCAACAGTCTTATATTAGATGTATGTGTACAGGTATTGCCATCAAGATCTCTACCAGATATCTGGTCCGCTGCAGGTCAATCTCCCTTTACAGAAAAGATAATACAGTCTTTTAGGTAACACAACTCTGGCTGATTGACAGCTCTAAGCTTCTGTATATCTCCTGGATAAAGATATGGGTTTTGGGTCACAAGGACTTCGCAGCCTATTATTATATAAGCCTGTCCACTATATATCTTGTCAGTCACTCTTAAGAAACACTCCCCTTCCTCCAATACATCTCGGGGATCACAAGCACCGAAAACAAGTCTAGAATCCTGAACCAAAATTCAGCATCTCTGGCTCTGCTGTTTATTTAGTATTTTTGTATATTCACAAGTAATGAGACTATATAGGGGATCTGTTATGTTCTCTATACTGTGTAGAACCAATCTTTCAGCTAGATTAAATTTGTCAAGGGCACACAAGACCATGAACACGGTTGATAGCTCAGTAAGTGCTTCTTGCAAAAGCTGGAAGTGCTTATCTTGCTTTTTAAGAAGCATGTCAGTTAAGATTCCAAGGGCATGGAGCAGAAGAACTATGTCATTATTCAGGTATCTGTAGGTATATGGCTGTAAAGGGTCAGCACTTGACTATTATATAGAGTAGTTGAAATTACCATACTTTTAAGTATATAACTACAGTGAATGATAGATCTATTGTCCCTGAGAACTTTCATATGGATTGTCAGAATTAGAACCAGTATCTCTTGTGCATGCAAGGCTTGACAGTGACAATTCCCTTATATCCTTTAAACTGTATCTGGTACACCGATAGGTTATAGCGCGAGTTTTTGGCAACAATAGATAATTTGCATGCCAGAAGCTTTGCAGTATCTGCCTGACAAGCCCACACCCGTCGGTAAAATTATATTTCAACCGTGTGATATCTTCAATATCCTTATATCTTTCTTCAGCGACACTAATTACAGCTTGGCATAAAGAAAACAGAAGACCTATCCGTTTTGTCTTCTTTGCAACAGTCTTGATATTTGAGAAGTCACTAAGGGATTCTATATAATTAGAAGTTTTCTCTCGAGAGCCGCAAAGTAGATAACAGGACCGAGACTTGAGCTGGCTTGAGCTGTGGCCGTAGAAACTATATAGAACATTATTTATGGTAATCCCATGCTTCAGAAGTCGGGCCAAGTAGTCTGCAGACTCCCTCGCGGTACCTCTCTTCCATTGCCCTTCATCGTATTGTCCCACGCGAAAGTCCGCGCACGAGAAATGAACTAGCCTGTCCAAGGGAACCGACGAAGTTGCCCGGTTAGGGTCAACTTTGACGAACTTCAATACAAGCTTTCTGGTGCTAGGGTTCGACACCAATTCCAAAGACTTAATCAATCCCGCTGCATTCGTTTTGGGTGCTTTCGGCAAGCCTGGAACGTTGTAATACCAAGTGGTATCGCTCAGCGTAAACTCGGACTGTAGAGTGTACGTAAAGGAGCCGAACCGCTTCGAAGGCATGGTGAGTCGAGGGATTTTGCTTAGTGGGCTTATTGTAGGTATTTAATGTTCATGAGAAACATGGCCGATAAACTCGAGGGCTAGCGGGGTTTAATAGCTGATATAAAGGTGATGCTAACCGAGGCCCAATCATGCAGCCCAGGAATCAGCACGAAGTCTATAAATATACTCATATGCAATCTCGAATCATGACACGTTTTTCTTCCGAGCGGGGGTTCAAATTCACTATTGACCGTCATATAAATGTATTTACTTTTCGCCAACTTTTCCACATATTCAGATTAGGACTTATTCCCCAGTCTTCTTCGTTTTCGGCGAGAGCCACTAATTTTACTTTAATATGCACCCTGATACTTCTATATATATTTTAGGAGCACAATGTACAGGCAAGACCACTCTTGTCAATGCCTTGTTTGATGCAATTCAATACCAGCATAAGGATATTGTGCTACGCCGAATCACAGAGGTGGCTCGAACTGTTCTTCTGATACACAACTTCACGCGAGATGATATTACTAGTAGTCCATCTAAAGCACTTAAGCTGCAGAAGTTGATTCTGTCAGCACAGTTTGCCGCCGAAACCCAACAATCCTATATGCCAGTTCTATCTGATAGGTCCGGTATTGATCCTATTATCTACGCCACCATTTATGGGCCCCCGCATGGTCGAGAGTCTTTGGAAAGCACAAGACAATGGCAAATTTTGCGCAGTCGAATGATGAATTCGTTGGTGATATTGTGTCCACCGCATCAGGAATGGCTGACGGACGATGGAACACGGTTAGTGGCGAGTAGCTGGAAGGACTGGCAGGAGACACATACCACATTTTGCCAGGTTTTGGCAGAGAACAGCATTCCATTCGTTGCGCTTCCAGATCACCTGTTGGAGTTACAGGACCGGGTGGATTTCGTGTTTCGGGAGTGGACCACTGCTTTCCCACGAGTGATCACAAATACACCATCAGTTTCTAGGGGCCTATCCGACCAGCCCAACCAACAACTAGTAGGAGATGCATCCAACTCATAGAGCTTGGTATGAAGAACGTCTACTCAGAAGGGGATTACGCTGGTACTTACCTGTGCTTGGGGTCCTTGTATTCCCGCTTTTCCTTTCTATTATATAACTAGCATGTTTCTTATTTGACAAAGACTGTTCCTCTTCACGTCCCCATGCTACCTAACATATGTATTAAGTAATTATTCGTAGACCGCCTCCGTTGAGGAGTATTCTCTTTCTTTCTTTGTTTCCTTTTCTTTTCCAAAACCCTTTATACTCCTTACCATAGCCAAAGTTTTCCTTCCGTAGCGTTCTGCATTCAATAGTAATTTCTCTTGTTCAAGACACGTTTCGTTTGCCAATCGCTCCTGGCAAAATTACCACGCTATACCCCTTTCGGTACTAAAAACCTGCCGAGGCGGGAACTTCCATTTTAGGAACAGAACTGTCGCAGCCGCCTTGCAGTGTTGATTGGCTCTTAGGATGAGAGCATATGCATATTGACGAAACATTCCGATTCTGAATGGCCCACGTTACGGACTGAGAGGTGGAGCTGCGACGTTGAACATATTTCCTTTTCGGATTTCGCACCATGTCAGATTGCGAAAGATGCTTCTCAGTGTGGTTCTTGAACGGCGGGTTCTTATTACTTTACACAAAACGACTACTCTAGTCTCCTTGGCCCTAGCTTTGTTACTAGCAACAGACAATATTCATAGAACCTGCCGGGAAAACCTGATCATTTCAGCCACTACTGAGTCACGGAAAGGTTACCAGGATGGCTACTCCGCAGCATACCAAGATAGTACAGGACCGTCTTGGGTATACCTTCAAGATTGAGGAACTCTTGACACAAGCTCTCACAGCAGCCGGCAAAGGGGGCAACAAAGACGGAAGTAATATACGCGGCAATAGTAGATTGGCGCATCTGGGGAATTTCCTTATACAATTCCTTTCCGTCTACGTTGGATATACGTTAGATAGCACCCGAGGTAAGTACAAGATAGACAAGTATACACTCAAACAATGCAAAAGCAGCCTGAAGTGCCCGGGGTATCTGATGTCTGAAAAGAGGAATCGAGCAAGCTCAACGTACAGTTTGGTAGTACGGAACACTGTGCCAGGGTCGCTGAAAGGGCTGACCTTGACAAATGCCTCAACTATGACACGAGAAAGGGCGCAAAATCAGCTTTAGTACTCAGAAAGGCCATCTATGCCATTGCAGCGGCCATATTTTTGGATTCTCAAAGCATCGATGCGGTCGTTTTGGCGATGAAGAACCTGGGGTATGGGACCGGCTATTCATGTTTGATTCTTACTCTAACAATGCACATTTACAGGCTTTTCGCCCCAGATGAAGCTGTCATCGATCCAAGGATGTTGTCAGTCGACCGTACTACCGCATGTCAAAGCATCCACGACACGGTTATGACCTGCTTTAGGACGGGTGTAACAAGCGATATACTTCGAAACAACGATCACTTGAATAGTGTGCAACCGCAGATAAGCACCCCGGCTGAGAGGACGAGCACAGACCTCATTGAAGACCACGGCTGGAATGGTGTCTCGGTGAACGGTACTGACGATATCCAGCCTATTCCTGGTATAGTACGGCAAGGACCAATAGAAACCATTCGCGCGCCAGTTGAAGAAATATATCCTACAGGACAAAATCAAGATATTTTGGAGAAAGCGTTGGATGATGCCAATGCATTACTCGGAATGGACAATATTAACGACTTATCTATGCTAGATATACTGTCCAACAATTCCACACCTTGCGGGTCAGCTACAGTTGATCCAGGAAACAGAGCTATCGAGCTGCAAGAAACCCCCAATTCTGCAAAGCGACGGAGAGTCACACCAAATTCTGCGTCTACTGACGGTATTCAGACTTCTAGGGATGATTGTTTGTCGGGTATTGAACGCCAACTTTCCCTTTGCATAGCAAAAGAAGCGCAAAGGTGCATCGCTCACGGTGTCCCAACTCCCGACTCCACAATACTCGAAAATACCTTGAGGGCACGGATAAAGCGCCTGAATAAAAGGCAAGCTAATGTGCTAATTTTAATTAAGATATCGATTGGCAACTCATACTCAATCGCTGCTTTGCAGCAGCTGAGGGACTCGCAGTGGACGCAAGACGACATGCCGCGTTTGCACATAAAAAATGGAATATCGATCCACGAACGTTTTCGCCTGATTAGTGTATTGGACGACAAAATAGCTTACTACAAGCTCCTTCGACGATATCATATTTTCCATTTGTATCAGGATTGCACGGGGCCCTCTAGCCGAGCAGCCACAGAATTTGTTCACGTAGATCCTGAAGAATTTCAGCGGACGAAAAAACCCGGAAACCCAGGGAACAATGCTAAAGCCGAGGTGACAAAATTCATGTTGAGCGCAATATACCCTAATCTCAATGAGACTATGGATGGGTATGCCACGAAATACAAGAACGTGACCAAGTTACAGACCCTAGGTAGACGGTTTCAGGCCTTAGCAAACAGGTTCGGGATGGGTGTACTAGGCCTTTTACCCTTTGGTGGAATGGCGAAGCCGTTAGATATGGAAATATCCGAGACCATGTAAGTTGTCTGCTCAACAAAGCTCACCAATGTACTAAAAAGTGGGGAAAAGGATTGCAGAAGTACCCGAGACAGCCTTCAATACCTTCGTGACAGTCCTTGACGAAGTCGAAGGAGAGACTCTCAAGGCACTTAGTGGAATGGTCTCTCCGATTATTGATCAGTTAATCTACGGCTACGCACCATGCGACCGGATGCATCCGACAGAAGGAATCCATCTGGAACAGATCCTGACGTACCCCAAGGGGTCCGATGCACTTCTTAGGATTCTCAATAGCTCATTTGGCACTCAATAAAAGGTTAGGATTGCGAGAACAGATGCAGGCGCATGTCGGTGTCCCTATCATAGATCCTATCTCTTCTTTGTTATTTCACATATGCAGTCCCCAATGATATTAGAAGACTTCGTTTAGCAACTGAGCCTTCGGCTGTCCGGTGATACTCATGATTCTGTTGTACCGACCCATAACTCTAGGCTTTCACTATGGAGATAAACGGATTGCCTCACAGGGAATGCATATCTGGTGCAGTCGACGACAAGAGTATGATAACGTCCTCGTAGACTGCCGACCAATAGATGTATCTCATAACCTGGTATCTTTCGTGGCTGGAAGCAAGCACTCTCTCACCTAAAAGTAAATCTCTCGCCATGTGTGGCGATAGTATTTTTCTCAGCCGTAAGATGTAGTTATGTAGATCCAGACTTAATTCATCCGCAGTTGGTTACTGGTAGGATGACAACGTGATGCATCTTTGCTGGTCAGCAACTACTAGGCAGCATATGGAATCATTCTGCAATGGGATACATCCAGCGATCATTTTCAGGGGCAGAAAAAGCTATTCCGACACCGGACCTATGTGATTCCATAGTTATCGTTAGCATAACCGAATCGCCACCTTACTCGATATGGAGCTTGTCCAAAGACATACGAGAAGAATCAACGGGGATAACTAGGGGATTTACTATACCTTCAGCAATGACGTTGTTTATCAAGGGTTTTCCGATGTAAGGCTGTTCATGATCCCTATGATTTGTAATTTAGCTCTGCTTGCCTGTTACTGTACCTAGTTTCTTGGCAATGCTCAACCGTACTTAGAACAGTTATAGCTTGCTGGAGAGTGTTGTCGGTATGTTGTGTATAGCAATATACGATGCCTTTTATAAGATAAATGGACTGATTGCACATTGCTCGTGTCTACCGTACTCGACTATGGCATCATTGGTTGAACAAACACTTCCCGTGATAACTGTCTCAGCCAGGATGTCGATACCTTGCCAACTATGACATGCTTATGGGTGTCGCATATCGATTTGTCAGCCTATTCAAAGTATAAGCCTCGTGTGTGAGCTTTGCATCGAAAAGACTCAAAACATGCCCGGTATGTTTCTGTGTAGATGGGATGAGGGAGGTTGGCGGTTATCAGGGCGGTCCATTGTAAGGCCCGCCTAAGAAAGACGCGATTCATAGGCAAAGGTAGCTTAAGGTAGCTTAAGGGGGCCCAACGAATGTGTGGACAGGGGTGGAACATTTGAAAGCAGCAGTTCTGAGATCATTCGAGACTGCGAAAGTATTGAACGGGTAACGAGGATGGCGCGAATCAGAATAGCTGATCTGTTGTGGTCATTCCTGAAAGGAAGATATTATATAGGCGACAAATACGTTTACTAATATACACGATAAAAAGTGCTTGCGGCCAAAGGTTAGGTCTAGAATATGTCACCGATCACTTTGTTTTCATTTAACCAAGGGGAGGGTTAAATTATTTCAGCCAGATTCCATAAATATCTTGACGTAGTGCCTTAGCCTAGACTGGCCGCGCCATCTCCAGTAATCTGGTCCAAAACTCATTTCTGACCCTTCAGTTGCATTTTGGAATGACTCTGCAGAAGCTTGCAACCTCTCCTCAAATTGTCCAAGTGTAAGATACTTCTAATGCTTTTCCTGGTGTGATGTTTCTTTCGCTATCATATTATACTGTAGGTTTATATTTGTTGCTACAAGTAGAAAGATGATCTGACGGCATGCTCTTTAGAAAATTAAACAATTGGATTTTCGATACTGTATTTAATTAAACACACACAGAATATGCACAGTGGTCCAAGATTCGACATGATGTAAAGGGCGACTAATGAGCCCCCTGGCTTGAGTCTAATCAACGCGAAAACTAATTGAGATAGCAATAGTCAGAGTCCTTCGCATTCGGTACAGAACAGTATTCTTCTCTCAGATGCTATTAAATCGTAGTTCCTCCACAGAATACTAAGCCGTACTGATGATCGAGGTAGAGACAGTGTAAAATATAGTTTTTGTAATCAGGATACTCCTAGGGCGCCTTCTCAACTCCCATTTCTATAACTATACATGATACAGTAACATCGGCAAATATAATTTCCTGAAAAATATTCTGGGGCATGACTTGGTGGCGACCTAATTCAGTACAGTAGAAAGCGTAATGGCATCTATTACAGAACCTGGGAATACCCTTTTAACGGCTGCCTGAATCCACTAGGAGCCATACAGAGGCCAAGGACGTACGGTGTTGGGCTCTCTATGTTGAGTATTTCCGTAAATGACGCCAGTTTTTCTCCAATTCTTTGCGTCATAATGTAGAATAGGTTTTTCAAGCGCTGGTTATTTGGCCGAGATTTTTTGCCGCTTGTCGAAAAAGTCGTCCCCAGCTGGATTTAACCAGCCCTTTAAATTATTAGCCAGTCCTACTAGAACGCTCGGTAGGTATTACCTTCATCCTTAGATCACTGGGAAAATGGGTCCAGCAAAATGTAATCACTCCATAGCTGAGGATTAGCGGTTTCTTCAAATATTCTTCCCTTCTTCAGGTCGTTAGATCAGGGCATTAATAATGCTTCTGAACAGGGGTCAAGCAGTCAATACTTTTAATATATATATGAACAGCACATTCATCACATATTAATGTGTGGTCAAGGAAAACTTGGAGTTACTTAGCCATCACAAAATAAAATGCGAAAGGCGGTGGGTGGTCGGAACCGCCACTAATAACTGTCAACCGAAATTACCACTAAAGCTCCACTATCAGCCACCACCCTACTGCATTTAGAATAGCGCCTCGATTACTACTCTAAGCCATGGTCATCATATATCATCATCCTGTATCATCCTGTATCATCATGATACCGCATGATTTAGTGATCTTCTTAAAAGCCTATATATATCGCTCATTTTACCACTAGATCAGGAATTAGACCTCATCAATTCATCATTTTGCACTCATTAGAATTCAGCGGTAGATTACTAGGTTAACATTGTATCCAAGTAATCTAATAACATGCTGGCGACTAGTCGGAAAAGAAAAAAGGGGGAACATATTTGTGAGCATTATACCACTCATGACCCTAAGTGCAGCCAATTAGGAACAGCACATGTATCCATTTGAATGAATTAGATTGTCTTCCTACTTAGTTGTGTAAAATCAGCCCATTCATCTTATACCTGGTTCGTTATCTCACTTCCTCTTCCGTGAATATTATTAGTATGGTGAGAGAAACATATTGTTATTCGTTGACCGCGATGCCCAGTTCTCAAAATGCCTTTACCTAGAACCATTACAGAGCTAAGCCACCATAGTAGGTGTCCCTCTCTAAACTCATTTATCACTCTTCAAAATAATTGGTTAGTCTTGAAAATCCGCGTTATTCGACCAGTTTCCCTTATCTCTACCAGCCGCTCATAGCTAAGTGCGAACGCTATCCTAACTCCGGTAATAAAAACCACTCGAGGTGGGAACTTCCCTTTTAGGGGCTACTACGGAATTGTCTCACTTGCAGGCGGGCTCAAAGTTACCAATGGTGTGCATACCTTCTTTCAACCTTTGTCCCTAGTATCATGTTAAATTGCGGGAGATGGTCTGATGGTCTCGGCCTTGCTTTGCTTGTAGTTTAGGTTCTTATCGACATAGGAGATCTCTCTTGTTTTGTCCAATTCACAAAATGCACCAAGTTCTCAATGAGAAGTAAAGAATCGTTCAACTGCTAGGCGTCTCCTGTGCTGCAATGCGGTAGTTTCTGTTTTCGAGTGTCTCATGTTCACATTCGTAATTCTAGTTTCAACTCGAACCATAGGTGCCCGAGGGGCTCTAGTTGTGTACCCTGGAGGTGGAATATACACATAGCCGTTATGGACCAGGGATAGATTCGAAGGCGAAATTACGGTGACATGCTAAGTAGACAACGGAGGTGAGTGTATCAGCGTCGTTCATTACGCGACTTTTGCAACAGAAAACCGACACACCCTACCTAAGTTGCAGGTTTGTTGCCCTTTCAGTAGGTAGTAGTTTGCTCTGTCATAGTTTACTACCTAAGGGGTACCCGTTTAAGCCGTCTCCGAAACTGCCTGCAGAACCAGGTACGTTATCCATTCAATGCTGCTCGACTAACATATTCTCTGTCATGCTATCCCTCGCTGGTTGAGACAGGAATTGTAATCCAAGCCTGTAGTTCGGCTCGTCCAACTATATCGAAGCTCTTTATCTGCCGAGAATGCATGATTGATACTATTAACCAATAAGGGGGTGTTGAGTTATATTAGCCTTCGCATTCCTGCTTGGTATGAGTAAGGGACAGAAGGGGATATGAATGTATAGCTTCGCCTAGGTCAAGGGTGGATTTATCGTTGTGGAGCTATGGCTGTAAGTGTATATAATATGATATAAATTCATACCCTGTCCTCTGTCCTCCATGTCTCCATGGAAGCATATCTATCTTTGTTGTGAAACACATTATCCAACACTCGTCAGTTGTTGCCACTAGGTACTTGCTCGTGAAGATGGTCTTGCGTCATTTTTCAACTAGCTCTTTGGAGGTACTGTGTACAGAAGAGCACCTGGAGCTCCTGGACTCGGTTGATACTTTACGTCTTCAAGGTATCAGTCACTACATCTCCCTTCCCCAGATAATCGTCTGCGGAGACCAATCCTCAGGAAAAAGCTCCGTGCTGGAGGCAATATCTGGCGTTTCATTTCCGGTTCGAAGCAGTCTTTGTACGCGATTCCCGACTGAGCTTGTCCTGCGTAAAAGTGCCCAGACTGGAGTGAGCGTGTCTATCGTTCCTCATCGATCTCGCAGTGATGTTGAACAAGAAACACTTTCACGCTTCCATGAGGAGCTCGAGAGCTTTGAAGGTCTCCCGCAGTTGATTGAGAATGCAAAAACTGCCATGGGCATATTTACCCATGGCAAAGCCTTCTCCAATGACCTCCTTCGGGTTGAAGTCTCAGGACCCGACCGGCCCCATTTGACGATCGTTGACCTTCCGGGCCTAATCCACTCCGAGACAAAGCAGCAGTCAGCCGCTGACGTTGCGCTTGTTCAAGATGTCGTTCAATCCTATATGAAGGAACCGAGGAGTATTATCCTTGCGGTTGTTTCCGCGAAGAACGATTTTGCCAATCAGATCGTCCTACGACTCGCACGGGAGGCAGATCCCTCAGGCAAGCGAACACTCGGTGTCATCACAAAGCCTGACACACTGGTTCAGGGTTCGGAAAGCGAGGCCCAATTTGTCTCTCTTGCCAAAAATCAGGAGGTAGATTTTCGTCTCGGCTGGCATGTGCTCAAGAACATGGACACGGAAAAAGGAACATGGAGCCTATCAATTCGAAGTAAGCAAGAGACCGAGTTCTTTTCTACAGGTGTTTGGGAGGACTTGCCACGTTCCCATGTTGGTATAGACACGCTCCGGGAAAGGTTAAGCAGGCTACTTCTCGGTCAGATTGCCGCTGAGCTACCTAGCTTGATGAATGAAATACAGGCCAAAATAGACGAATGCGTTAAGAGGCTAGAGAAGCTAGGAGAGCCTCGCTCTACTCTTCAGGAGCAGCAGTCGTATCTTCTCCACATCAGCCAATCTTTTCAAAATCTCGTGAAAGCCGGTCTGGATGGCAGTTACAATGACCCATTTTTTGGGAGTGCCCACTCAGAGAGCGGCTATCAGAAGCGAATGCGTGCGGTAATCCAGAACCTGAGTGAAGATTTCGCCCAAAATATAAACGAAAAAGGCCACTACCGTCATATATCCAACGGCGAGGATGATGAGAAAACCTCAAATATGCAGTTATTTGTCACTCGCGAACAGTACCTTCAACATATTGAAATGTTGCTCCGACGAACCAGGGGAAGGGAGCTTCCTGGGACATTCAATCCAATGATCGTCAACGATTTGTTCAAGGAACAATCCCAGCCGTGGCAAAATATTGCAAAAGACTATATTGCTAAGGCTTGGGAAGCAGCGAAGATATTCATATATGCCGCTGTCACTGAAGTTAGCGACATGGCAACCTCGAGCGCTTTGCTGAAAGATGTCTTCGACCCGGCCCTCGGCAATCTCTTGAAGAAAATGGAGATGAGGTTAGATGAAATGCTTGAGCGCCACCGGAATGGGCACCCAATAACATACAATCATTATTTCACTGACAACTTACAAAAGTCTCGTCGGAATGTATTAGAGGGAGAGTTCTCTAAGGTCTTAACACATTTCTTCAATGTCACTGAAGTTAATACATTTAATTTCAAAAATAACACGTTTGATCTTCGCAGTCTTTTGGATTCACTGCTCAAGTCTTCTGAAACGGATATGATTCGGTTTGCCGCCCGGGAAGCTTTGGATTGTACATTGGAATATTATAAGGTCTGGTGTTCTCTCGGGAAAACTCTCTATTCAGAAGGCCATACTGATACGGTCTAGGTGGCACTGAAAGGTTTCATTGATGGTGTCGCAACAGACGTTGTGGAAACGACCCTCGCCAAATCCATTGACCAGCTATTTTCACCTATCGTGGTGTACCATATGCCAGACACTCTGGTCGCGCGAATTGCAGGGGAGTCAAAGGAGAATCGAGATTTACGTGACCAGCTTTCGAAGAAGCTCAAAATACTAGGCAAGGGATCTGCTACCTGCAGAAAGTTCGTCAGCATCCAACAGACAGGTAAAACTCTACATTCGTGGCCTTCTCTGACGAGAGAGCTAATGAATGGCAGCAGCGCTCAGCTCCAGCCTGCAGCGGATTAGTGTTCCCAGTAACAACACCAGAAATAATTCAATGTCATTCTGCGACGATGCTGTGTCGCTTAGCGAATCTACATCTAGTCCAGAATACGAACATTCTGATAGGAATCACCACCCAGTTGATGTGGATGAGGCTTCATGCCCAGAGGAACCCTAAATCCGAGCTCCAAGCTCCATCATGTATTCGCCGATGCTTTGTTCACCAGTAGAGCAAAGGAAGGCAAGAAGGGCAGAGTGCATAATAATTACTTGAATTAGAAGATGCTAACTCCGGCGTCTTTGGCTCAACTGCTTATCAGTTAAATTATTACTGTCCTGACCAAAACGCATTGCAATGATGAAGAAATTATCAAACCGTGAACTGCCAACTTCATCCTTTAAAAATACAAAATACAGTTTCTTTTCTTTTCTTTTTCTTTTTTTTTTTTTCTCTATTTTTCATTAGTAGGATTTTGATCTTGAAAAATCTCAATAGTAGGCCTTGCTCAGCTCTAACTGGAGCACTGCCCATGGCAGGAAATTGCATGCGGACCTCACCTAGCACTATGTCCAACCATAATGTGGATGAACAGTAATAATGGCGTTGTCTTGGATGTCATTATGACTTTGGCATATTCCAGAATCAAATGTTCCGCTAGAGAGCTAGATCCACTCATAAATAACATCTCCCATGCACTTTAAAGGGCGGAATACAAATATAGGTAGTAATTTCTCTTATGACGCTTTCTAGTAGCGTCATAATTCACCATGTGGTCGCAAACAAGATCCTATAAAATCACCGAGTTTAAATAACAGCCAATATACAACAATCAAAACCAATGTGAAGGCAAAATACCGAATTCCACTGTAATATCCTGACTAATCAAAACTTTCATGATACTAAGAGTCTCAGTTTAGTAGAGAGAGGTGTCATGTCGTGCACTAACTGCTAAGCCCTGTAGCCAAGAGGTCCAAGAAAACAGATGATCCTTGCCCTCATCTCAATGACGCTTAATGGAAGCGAATCAGATATGCACTGCTATATTGTGGGCTATAAATTCTATTGGTAATATCGGGAAGATTCTGATCGACTCGTCCACTTTGTCTCCCCAATTCCCAATTCGCCCTTCGTAGGGTCATCACTTCGAACATCGCCGAATCTGATTGACACATCCCCCATCGCACGGGCCCGCTCTAAGCCACTTACTGCGCTACTTACGCTAGCAATATGATAGAGCTGTGGGTTGTCTCGTGTGAAGGTCGATATGTAACCAAGAATATCCGGATTGAGCGTCCGTGAAGCCAAGGTAAACGAGACAACGGAGGCACCAACCATGAAGAGGGAGGCGAATAGGAACATACTCCACCACCCCCAGTTCATGGTGCAAGTGGGAATCGTATCACGCTGTGTAAAGACGCCAGAGATACTTTTGATCGGAGCAGAACTAAGATATCCATACGCGGCGTTTTCGCTAGTCCACGGGAAATCTCCTGTCATAATTATGGGACCAAGCCTGGCTATATAGAACGTATTGATAAGGTGCATGAGGCGCTGCGAAAATACTTCCTTCGATAATCTGAAGAGGTCTGTTGCGGGTACCTCTTCTCCAACTGTTCCGTTTGGACTAGCCATGTACTGCTCCATGAATGAGGGGGTCCCCGGATGTGTCACCGGGGTTGCAGATTTAAGAGCGGTGGCGAACTGGTCGAACAGATGGATGTTTGAGAATATTGACTGCGAACGAGGAGATGTACGTCTTTGGAGTCGAACAGCACTTGCGAAGCAGTCACCTCTGCTACTGGAAGCGCCTATATCAGGGCATTCGCAGTTTACAGCAACTTCGACGAACTGCTCGTGGACAATGCAGTCCGCATACGTAACCCCACGGTAATTAGATGGGCTGTAATTTGGAGATATCCACCGGATAATGGGAGCAGAGTACTTCTCCATGCTGTTACTGTTGCTGTTTAGCTCTGTCCCATTATTCGAAGGGTTAAGATACGTGAAAAATTTGTAAGCGGTGTAGTTGACTCTCGATGGCCACACTCCTGAGCCAGAATCATTAGCTACCGTGCGACAGTCGACATCAAAGTAGGAGCTGTTGATGTTGAAAGTTGTATTCCCAACTCGTGAGAGGCCGGAGACAGGAATCCCTAGCAGTGATGGATATGTTTTCACTAATGTATAATTCTGAATTTCCCGCCATCCAGAAGTGTTGCCTGCCGAGTCTTGTTGATCAAGCTCTCCTATGAGCGGTAGCTTGACATTTCCCCAGAAGTCAGAGGTAGAAGATCTGGTGGTGCTGGCAGTCAGGAGGGCTGTGAAATAGAGGTTATCAGGCGCAGGGCTTTTCGCTTGCCAGTATGAGATATTCGCCGACATAACCCCGGCGTTGTTTGTGTCAAAATGTGCAAGGGCAACGAGAGAGGCATTTTTGCGCAAATCAGCAGACATAATGCGTAGCACAGATTGTGCACCGAGTGGTGAGAGAGCCCAGACGAGGAAAAGACAAAGTCCCAGGATATTGAATGATCGCATCGCAAGCTGTGTAGATATCGCTCCCAACACCGTCATGCTTCCCATCAGCTGCTCAAGCAAGCCCAGGAGACTGCCGCGTTCGAGTTTCCACCGCGCAGCCTGTCGCATTGTCTGGCCTACAACGGCAGCAAAAACTATAGGGAAGAATGTAGCAAGCTGAGCACCGCGGTCAGCAGAGTGCTGAAAATCTTTTCGACGCTACGCTCTCCTGTTGATAATTATGGACTGACCACTTTCATTGCCAGCTGCATTCGGTCCCAGCTCTCATACTCCACTGCGCGATTGTTCAGCCAGAACGCGATTCCGGCAAGGAAAAGAAACGGGGCGACAGCTGCAACTGAAACGAATTGCGCAACCCACCGCCGGTTCTGTGTGCGCAATCTTCGTGAGGATCCATGGCTCTCTATCATGTCCGTTCTTGCTATTGTTGTAGTAGTTGTTGTCCGCCGCCATCGTGTATTTTCCCTGACGTTTGACTGCGAATCGGGGCCAATCAGGGTTTCTGCACTATTTGGAGTGATTCCTCGGAGGGGAAGGGTCTCAGGAGGCCGGACATTGTCGGGATCTGGGCTGACTGGATGATAGCTATAGTGCTCAGGCATACTTATTTTGTGGACAGCAAACAACTAGTCTAAGATCCCAAGCACATAGAGCCCCGCATGTTTATATTTCACAGTATTTGTAGGCGCCGTGGCTTTCTTTTCGTTTGCTTCTCGTCAGCCTCGTGGCTTTCAACAATATAGTCGTCAGTCCCTTAGATTCCGGCCCACCTTAACCAAAAGTGGAAATTGGTCCGGGGAGCAAGACCTTGCCAGTGAGCGATCATGGTAAGCTGAATGAACAGATGGGCACAGGAATAATTTACTAGCCTGAATACCGACATGGACCTAAGGGGTTTATGGATGCAAGGCTTGAGGAGTTGAACTCAGCCTTTCGCTTTCGGTGCGGAGATACCAATCAGAGCGCGGGCCCTATTTATCTGTTGGTGGCCCGGTCGTCAGTCCCTTGAATTCCGGCCCACCTTAACCAAAAGTGGAAATTGGTCCGGGGAGCAAGACCTTGCAAGCGAGCGATCATGGTGAGCTGAACGAACAGGTGGGCACAGGAATAATCTGCTAGTTTGGGTACCGACATGGACCTAAGGAGTTTATGGACCCAAGGCTTGAGGAGTTGAACTATGCCTTTCACTTTCCGTGCGGAGATACCAATCAGAGCGCGGACCCTATTTTGGCTGTTGGTGGCGCGGTCTTCGCACCACCCTTATTGGTACACGCTGGCTATACTTGGATAATTCCTTTTGTGCTGGGATACGCTGAATATGAGAACAGGTGCAGTTAGTGAATTATGCTTTATGAGGCACAAGTTCTTTACTATAGCTAAAAAACGATTATTTCTCATACCGCTTCCCTCTCTGAAAATCACTGGAGTCGAAACACAATACAAAATTAATCTACAAAAGAGTCAAAAACAGTGAAATGCCTCCATTACGCAAAAACGTAGCCTGGCCAAAGGAGAGCAATACATCCCTCTCCTATAGTGGAAGTGCTCCGGCCTACGAACTCTTGCCTCACACCCATGGTCAACCGAGTACATCTGATGCCACGAGAAGCCAAACGATCGACTCGAGAACCGAGAAACACGTCTGGCCACGAGAGGCTAGAAAGCTTCAACGTTGGAGTACGACCACAGCGTTGGTGGATCTTGTCTGCTTGCTGATGCCCGCCCCATTCTTCGCCTTGGTGTACATATGCGCCACTCGGGACGGGAAGTTGGTTCACAAAGAAGATTTGGAGAGGATTCAAGAGGGGATAATTATCGTATGCCTGCCTCATGGCGTCCATATGGCGCCAGAAGGGATTACCCTTAGCTCCATTACTGACGATGTGTCTTTCATAGTCAGCAACGGCCTTCCCACTGATTTTCTCGGCTGTCGTGGGCAGGATGACCAAGCGAATCACGTCATGGCAACTGGAAAGAGGGAGCTCGTTGCGATCCCTAGAGCTTCTAAACGGCAGTACGACCCTCATTAATTCAATATCCACATATCTGTCACTTCGTCATTTCAACCTCCTTGGTGCGTCCCTGGTCTTGTTATGGGCTGTGTCGCCATTGGGAGGTCAGTCACCACTCCAAGTCTTGCGGACCCGCCGAGTTACAGGTACCTTCGCCAATACCATGAGTTATTTGAATATGAGCAGTCCCGGCCACGCCTATTTTGGTGGCACCAGTAGTACAGTAACAGGAAAGCCGTTTGTTGAAGCTGTGTACTATGCAAGCCTCCTTGCCCCTGCAAACGTCAAGTCCTCGGGGATGGACGCCTGGGGGAATGTCAAAATACCTTTTCTCCCTACGGTCAGTAGTCTATCAAATCATACAGGTTGGGTAGACCTCGCCAATGAGGCAATGAATTACTCGTCACTAGCTGGGGTTCCAATCATGGGACTGGAGAAGAGTGGAAATGTCTCATTCGTCATTCCTTCAACCTATTTCGTGCTTGAGCGTTCATCGAAGCCTTCTGTCAAGACGATTAGGCCGTACCCGCCAGTCGACCCTACTGCCAATCTTACTGGATACAGGCTTAATGGTCAAGGGTTCTCTAGCTCCTATCGACCTGATTATATTGACGTCGACCCAATTCTTCTGCAGACTAAGTACAAAAACGTATCAGTACTTGAGCTGGGCGGTATGAGTGGCAAAATGAGTTTTAATGCAAATAATATGAACATGACAGCATATTTCCAACTAAACCAGGTCTATATTGAAGCAGAGGTGGTCTGCAGCGTTGGGCAAAGTAGGGTCTCCTCCTCATCCACTTATGATCATTCCTGCAGCGTCAGGGCTATGCGCCGGAGAGAGAATATACCTGAGATTGCATACAATTGGCAACAATGGTTAGGATTCTCCTGGACGAACATGATAAGCTACTTCAGCCAGACAACGATGAATCCCAATTACTCCATTCCTGAAGCATATATCCGCAACCCAGACTCACCTCTGGCAGCCAATCTCTCTGATCCTTCCACAGCCCTTGTAGACTGGGACACACTTACACTACGCCTGAGTCAACTTTTCAACACATACGCATTTGGTAGTTTGGATCCGACTGCGATCATCCAAAGCTCCTCGTCCAAATTCTCAAATGAAACGGGGGCCCATGGGGCTTATTTCAATAATCTGCCAGTGTATACGGTTAACTGGGTATGGCTGTCGATTTTCTCTGCAGCTACATCAATACTCACCCTGTGTGCCCTGACTCTCACCACATTGCATTTCTTCACCTTAAATCCTGATATTCTAGGCTATGTGTCCACAGCCACCATGTATTCTAGCCATCTTCCGGTACCACCAGGAGGGAGTACCCTAAATGGAGAAGAACGCGCCCGGCTGCTGAAAGACATGGCTATCCGACTTGGAGATGTGCAGCAATATGATCTAGTGACAGGGCAATTATCGTTCGGCACAATATCCTCAGCAGCTCGGCCTCATCTGGGAAGGCTTTACTCGTAGCTGATGATGATGGGCCGAACCAGAGATTAGTCTCTCTATTTGATATTTTTCGCGTTAGGGGGCCTAGTAAGGCCCTATATATAGTCTTTCCTGCGCCCCTTACGGCTTCCTGCATTCCGTAGTAAAGAATATGTTAGTCTGACAAAGTGTCCTTAAAAAATTGTACGCTTATTGTAGGGAGTGACCTGAAATTATTTCTATAAGAGAAAGGGGAGACAGTGCTTTTATTATACTCGAGGATATAAGTCTCTTACGCTGCTATTTAAGGCTATTGAGAACTAAGGCTTGATCAAGTAAACTATAGAGCTTCATCTACGGAATAAATTCCGTATGGAAACAGATTGATTGGAAATTAATCTAATGTTCAACTTGTATATGTAAGCCCTCAGGTTTACAGAAGTAATGAAGGTTAGGTTAGGTTAGGTTATATTTAACGGCCATAGCTCATCGCCGAGGCATGTGACCCACCATCCCCTATTGGGGCAAAGGCCGCTAGGGGGTAAGCCCTGGGTGTCTCTAACTAGCTGCTAATTCTAGTTCTATATACATGTAGGGGACTTTGGCGCGTTTACATAGCTGCTGTAGTCAAGAAAAAGAAGAATGAGAGGGCCTGCAGTAGCAGGTACAGGAATAATGCCAGCTGCACGGGTCCGTCTACACTCCATGACTTATCCTGCCTTCACTGTGTAGTTTTTTTTTTTTTTTTTGGAGAAAGAAAATAAAGAAAAGACAGGGTTATATTATCTCAGTCTTACTGAGATGGGGGGTGTCGTGGGCAAATATCCTTAAAGAAACGGGTCTCAGATAGCCAGGCGGCTAGCTTCACTGCGCCTTTTGGAGTGCCTAATAAGTAAAGGATTGTTTTAGAGAAAGGATCTGGGGATCAGGGCAGGCGTCTCTTTGCAATACGGCAGAAGAAGAAGTGTATAGGGGATTTCCTTGTATCACAGCAGCAGAGAAGGTGCGCATCTTCATGATTAAAATACTTATAATAAGTTGTGAAGTCACCATGTCCTGTGCGGGCTGCCAGTATCTGTGTAAGTAGAGGGCGTGGAATTCGCAGCTTATCAGGACACTGGGGGAAGAAGGTAATCCCTAGGTCCTGATAAGGTTATAGAGCTGTAGACTACCAGTATCTTTATAGAGTAGATGCGATGTCAGCTTTAGTATATCGCTTTAATAAGGCATATAACTATTTCCTTAATAGAGAATCTATAATAGCTCTCTTTTTAGCAGCTAGATTAGCTACTTTATTCTCAGTGATATCTTCATGTCTGGGGACCCAGTAGATCTATACAGTGCCACTGTCAGTGTACAGATATCTCTCTTATATAGGCCAGGTTGAGAAAATAGCCCGGAAGGATTTAAAGATCTCTTGTAATAAGCCTATAAATACTGATAAAAGCTGTATAGCTATCTCTAGATTATCTAAATAGATCTAAAGATTAGTAGCAAAGCAAGCTATATAGAGTACTGATATTACTCCATATACTGTATTGCCTAGACTGTATATAGTACTTGCAATAGTCAGAGCTTTTAAGGCTAATTTCTTGATATAATATTTAAAGCTAAGCTTCTTATCAAGGAGAATCCCTAGTCACTGTAGATATAGGCAGATTATACTCTTAGAGATTATGACTTGTCCTGCTAAGACTGAAGAAGTGCAGCTGGAGTCTTAGTCTATTCTGTACTGAGTAAAGTATATTAACTTATATTGTTAATTGCAGCTCAGAGAGCCGCAGGTAGTAGGGGAATAGCGTGCTACGGCGCCGCAGGTGGCAGGAGCAGAGGACTGGGTTCCTATTGAACGATCTACTACCATACACAGAGGTTGATCACTGGTTTCTGAAGCCATTGGGGTGCGGTAAAGATTTTACCGCAGCGGGTAGCATGTGACCCGCACGTGCTACTATATCACCCGCAGGCACTGTAAGGTGCGCCTAACATTACCCCCCTCTCTCGGAAAGCCCTGGCCTCAGGGCTTCGTAGGTGCTCATTTATGTTGGTGTAGGAATCTGGCTTATGCGGGGTTGATTGCGGGCGCGTGGTGTAGGCGTTCGGTGGTCCTGAGCAGTGTGTGATTACATGCTTGGGGATAGCCTCATGTTTTCCATTTTGGGAAGTATAGGGGTGTTAGTTGCGTTGTACAGGGTCTGATCCCGATTCCTGCCGCGCGCCCTATGGTATGGAACACTCGGTTCTATTCACTTGCTTGATATCAGGCGGCAATATTATGTTGTGATTGTGTTGTACCATTCACTGATTCCGTTGCCTAGGCACCGCTTGTGTTGGACATCACCTGCTATACAGCGATTTCTCACGCGCTGTTCCTCATTCCTTTTCTTAATTACTAACCTCTCCTATACCTATAGTAAGCGCCTTGTTTTCCGCCTCACGCCGCGCGTTCAGGTTATTCTGATTGTAGTATCCTATTCTGCTCATTGCATTGCCTGTATCTTGTGGTTTTAAGATCTCCTGAGCTATCAGATGTGGTGCTGTTATATCTGTTGTTCTGCTGATAATTGTGTTCTGTGTTAAGCTCTTTTCTGCTTCCTTCTTAGCTTTGTTTGTGGGCTTGCGTGTATGCTGATTTCACTGGTGTATTTAATAGATAGCCAAATATTGATCTACTGCTGCTTGTACACTCCGCCGCGCCAATAGGCACAAGAAAAAGAACTATGCTTGTTGCCTGTGTTACTAGCAGGCTTTAGTCTCTCCTGTGTCTTCTCCTGCTTCTCCTTCTGCTTCTCCTTCTTTTGAAGGCTTTTCGCCGAGTCTGTCTCTGGTCCCTTCTCCAGAGGAAACGGTTGTGCCACTGGGCTCCCTTAGCAGGGATGATATCATGCTTTCGGCTTTCTTGAGCGGGGAAGATCTCTTGCCTTCCTTCTCTTTAGAGGATGAGGCCTCTTTATCTTCAGAAGACAACGCGAGCATTTCCTTGCCTGAGAATAGTGGGAAGTGGTGCCTGCGGTGTCTCCAGCGCTGCAGTTCAGCCCCATCAGGGGTAAGTGTTGCCTGTGTGTTCCGCGAGGGCCGCTGTGTCTGTCTTTATTGCGCGGGTGGTCACTACCATTGTATACTGGTAAGTAATATCTCCTGATCCCTGATACTAGGTGGTGCTGATATGTGCGGCAGGTGTCCACTGAGGCTATCACACAGGCAGATGCGGTGTTGGTAGCACGTCATTACTTTAAGCAGTCTCTATCTGCTGTTATAATAAAGAAGCCTCTTAAAGCTGCAGTTTGTGCTCTTAATACTGCTGTTTATCCTGCGCGTGTGGCGTCAGGTGCGGCCCGCTGTGGCAGTGGTGGCTTAGGTTCAGGATTACCAGCTTCTTCCACTCTATCCCCTGCGGGCCCCCGCTCTCTCTATTAGTGTATGCTGGGTATGTTTATTTCTCTCTTCAGGTAAGTCCTCTTTTGCTGAGCGGACTCCGCTGGAGCTGACCTGTGGGTGTAGAAGATAGAGTGTTTTTGTCTTTTGATTAGGATAGTTGGGGTGTGGTCTTTGGATATTTCTATAGTTTTTTTTTTTTTTTAATTTATTTCCGCTGCTTGGTGAACTGTGTCTGTGTTGTCATTGTTTTGTAGGCCCCTTATAGATATCAGTACTCTAGATACGGTCAGTCTTTCCTTTCTTATACTGATATTTATCAAATGCTTGAGTTTCTTGCATATGCTCCAACAGTTCCCAGGTGTCATCTGTGGATGTATATCCTGTCCATCGGACTAGATATAGTGTTTTGCCACCTTAGGTACATTTTTCTGCTAAGATGTGTTCCACCTCCTATTCTTCCTCTCTATCAATTGGGATAGGTGATGGCCGCACCTTCTGACCTTTCTGTTGGTAGTATGGCTCTAGTAATGAGATGTGGAAAACCGGGTGTAAGCAGCGGTATTGTGGAGGTAGTCTCAGTTTATAAGACTGTGTTTCCCATGTGTCAATGATTGTGAATGGTCCTAACTGGCAGTGATCTAATTTGATATTTAGTTATACAGTGGAGATATTCTTTGCCCGCACCAGTACTTCATCTCCTATCTTAAATTGCATATCTATACAATATTTATTATACTGTATTGCTATTATAATTTTAGACTTCTTAAGCATATTTTTTACTATATCATGTATCTGCTGGAGCTCTTTGGCTCTTTCTTTTGCTTCCAGAGCTTTCACATGCAGTAATCTGTTATCAATATCAATCTGCAGATTTGGTGTGAAGCCTATTAATATATAGGAAGGTATTATCTTGGTGGTACTATAGACTGCAGTGTTATATATATACTGCGCTGCTGGTAGCCAGTGGGCCCAGTTATCCTGAAGGAAATTGCAGTACACGCGCAGATAATACTCTAGTATTTGGTTCTGACATTCAGTTTGCCCGTCTATCTGTAGGTAGAAAGTGGTAGACAGTTTCTGCTTTATTCCTAAATAGTCACATAATGCTGTCCAGTAGTGGCTGGTAAATACTGTATCTCTATCAGTTACCAGATATTGCGGGTTCCTAAATATAGGGACTATTGTTATGTATATCAACTTTATAAGATATGGTGTATCAATATCTTTACTGTATAAAATATAGATAGTATATTTAGTCAGCGCGTCTACTGCAACCAATAGTGTATTATAGATCTTTCTCTGCCACTTACTAGAGGATAATCCTGTAATAAAATCTATTGTTATAATATCTCCCGGCCTTACAGGGATTAGAAGCGGAGCTAATTTCCTATAAGATATATATCTATACACTTTAATATGTTAACAGGTATTATATATTTTCATATATTCTTTTATATCAGCGTGCATATCATGCCAATAATACTTATATCTGATAATGTTGTAGATACAGTTGAAGCCAGCGTAATCCCCCTACAGTAGGTCATGGTTTGTTCTTATGATTTCTTGAATTATTGCTTTAATTTTAGGTATATAAACTGTATCCTTATACCTGAAGAGCCTGTCTTTATCTATTCTCCAGAGCAAATTACCTTACTTTCCCTGAC